GGGGCCCTGGCGGCGGCGCTGGCGGCTGGCTCCGCCGCTCTGTCACCGTCCGGCTGGGGCGCGGAGGAGGAGGAGGAGGAGGAGGAGGAGGAGGAAGGGCGGGCAGCACCGCCTCAACTCCTCCTGCTGCGTCACCACGCAGCGTCCCCGCGCACGCCACGGCCCCGCCCCCAACCCCCCGAGGGGGGGAGAGGCGGGGCTAACGGGTAGGAGGCCTGGTCAAGCCGCCCCGGGGCGGGGGAGGGACGAAAGGCGGGGCTTAACTTTAAGCGCGGGGAGGACGACCCAACGCCCGGGGCTGTGGCTGAAAGGAAGGCGGGAGTTAGGCGGGGGGCGTGGCCGTGGCGGGGGCGGAGCCGGGGGAGCGGGCCGGGGGCGAAAGGGGCGGGGTTGCTGGTTTTTGCCTGGAAAGGGGGGCTTCGCGCCAGCCTGGAGAGTGGGGGACAGGCCGAGCCCGGGGGGGGTGATGACGACAGGGAGCAGAGAGGGATGGAAGAGGAGGCACCCGCGCTGCCCTGAGGAGAGGGACAGGAGGCCCCTGAGGCGCTGGCAGGGGAGACCTTCAGGCGCAGGGCCCGGCGGGCAGCCCCCCGTCCCCTGGGAGAAGTCACCGGAGCGGTCCGGACCCCGGGGGGTCGCCTGCGAGGTTCAGCCGGCCCTACCCGGGAAGGCCCCTCGGGAGATGGGTGCGAAGAGGGGTTGCCCTCCCCGCTCGGGGAGCAGGGTGGCCAGGGGCGTCAGTCACCGAACTGGACAACAACGTGAGGGGGTCTGGGGGTGTTCTGGTCGAGCTGATCCTCCTGGGGCTCAGTCTGCCCCGTAAATGCATCAGAACTTATAGCTCGAAAGACCGTACTTAAGTTAAAACTTGTATTTCCGCTTGCCTGGAGCAGCTTTCTGTCTTTGATTTCTGTTGACAAATTGCTGTGTTGGTTTTTGGCCAAGGGCTGCAGTATGAAGGCACCATCTCCCAGTTGTTCTGGATTCAGTTGTCCCATTCCCTCTATACACACAGGCAGTTTTCCTTCTGAGTTTGCAAGCAGATCAATTGTCTAAATATACACAGAAAACTATTAATCTAGGGCACACTATAAATTATAGATGGTGATTTAGCAAATCAAAGAATTATTTCTATCCAAATATGTAACATTATGCCCAGGAAGTTTCAAAAGTAAGGATCATCACTTTCTGCCTGTTTACATCTATTGATGCATTATACATGATATCCATGCCAATCATAATTCAGATTATATTCACTTCCCAGCCCCTGGCCTGTTTTCTTGGTTAAAAGCAGATGATGGGGTGTTTATTAAATTTTAGAGTTAGCAAAAGTAATCTTTGACTGTCTAATGTATTTCTTACACTTCTGAATGGATGCAGAACTTCCTTCAGCTTCAGTATGGCCACGGTTTCACCCTTGCTCTTGTGACACTTGTGAAGATACAGACAAGGTATTTGCAGGCAGAGTCGTACCATGGGTGTGAGAGTCAGAAACGTCCCCACTCTCTCTCCTCCTGAAGTCCTCTGCTCACAGAGGGTGACTTTCTAGGTATTCACTGAAGCTGTAGGAACAGGAGAGGACCATTAAAAGCAGACCTGAAGGAGCAGAGAGCACAGTCCTTGAGATGCTTCTTGGGAAAAGCCATCCTACTTTACAGCTATTCCCTGTGCAGCACTAGATTGTGTCTGATAGACAGTATTATTACTCATCTGGTTTTTTCTTCAATTATTCCCACTTCAATCATCTTGTCTTCTTCAGATGCTGAAAGTGGTGAAAGCATCCGTAGCTGCCAAGAGGAACTTTATATGAGACTTTGGTTTGTGACAGCAGCTGGTGCTCTTCCCCTCTCAGGAGTTGGTCCAGAGAGAACACTATAACTGAAGACAAGGTTTATAGGTAGAAGTAATATATTTTATTATAACAAGAAACACAGCTGGAAAAAGTAGACCACTGTTCAGCATGCAATAACCTGTCCTCAGAGAAATCAAATTCTCTCAGAGCTGCCTATAGAAATTATGTCAGTGGACTCAAAGACGAACCCTGCTCTTAAAAGTGTCATGCTTAACGTTTGTACAGAACAGATAGGTCCCCAGCTTTCATCACCTTGTATAAAAGACCTACACAATAAATTGCAATGGTATTATAACCAGGGTGTTAGGAACCTAGCATTTAGGCCCTCACGAGATTTGCAATGAAGACAGAAGTGTTGTAGCCAGAATGAACCAGATCTAAGAACTGGGGAGACCAGAAGGTCCAGTCAAAGGGGAAAAACGGGAACAATCAGAGATTAGGCCAACAATCAGTTGTTAAAATATACATACTAATATCAAGACAAAGGAGTAGCATCGTTGGAGTTCAGGCCAGTCAAGCAGCGAGTTGATCCAGGCAACAAGAATGACCCACAAAAAGATGGAAGAGTGAAGCAGTTTGGGGAAGAACAGATAATGAAATCCACAGTTAGGAGTCAAGAGAAGGAGCTAAGCTTAAGGCCAGGCAATCTAGAGGCTCTTAGGGAATCTCTGCCAGTAAATACCAATACCTACTCCCAGTTAGTTAGGAATCTAGCCCTGAGGTGAGATTTAGTTCCTGAGCTATCTGAGAAATGATTCACCCACTGCTAAGGAACAGCTCATTGAATCTGAAGCTAAGTTTATTTCATTAAGGAGGTCTGAGAGTTGTATCTAGGCGCCAAGGATTTCATACATTTTTAACTTTACATACAGACATATTAAACACTGCTCTGAAATAGAAGGTTGTAAGGAAAGCGAGCTGTACTTTTGTAGCTGTTAGAGAAATAAAATTAAGTTTAAGATTTAGCAGAACTGAACCTTCCGCTGCCACTTGGGCTGTATGTTTTCTTTTTAATCTATTGAATTTGAAATATATCTGAGGAGAAGATCTTTCTTCCATTTCTAGCAGATGAATCATCAGAAACATGATACACATTTATATTTGCTAAAAAGATGGGGGGCAGGAATAGCTTCGATCCTTTCTTGGGCAGAAGTTATTGCTCAGTTCCAAGGTGTGTACATCACAAAGGAAGGTCATGGTAGCCACCACAGCAAAATCTATTTATATCGAAGGAAATGCAGTCTAGAGTAGGCAGTTCTTGCAAACTGATAAGAAGGCTGACTGATGAATCCATTGATTTTTGATGGGAGTACAAAAGTTTCTTTTGGTATGCTTCAAAATACTAAACCCCAAAATTAAGCCTGAGGTACCTTGCACCAGAAGGTGGTTAAAAGACCTCTAGATGGTTTTCATCCATACCTCAGACAAAACAAAGAGTGCTGGAGGGACCGTCCTCAGCAATTCTTAGGACCTCCTTGGTAACCCCAAGGAGCTTGGTCTATGTATAAGCTATACATGATTTAGGTGTAAATAGAACATTTTCTCAAGCTGGTAACATACAGATATACACACACAAAAAGAGTAATGAAAAACGGACTTCTATTAAACTTAAATTTAGTGGTGCCTAACCCCTCAGCATAAAAGTTGAGAGGATTTAATAGATTTTGCTCAATTTATTTCTTTTCAGCATAGTTTTAAAAGAACAGTTTTTCAGCTTCAGGTTAACCCAGTAAGTGTTTGGTATCCTGAATCCCCAAGGAGGGTTTTATGTGCGCTGGGTTAACTTTGGGATTCTCCAGAAAAAATGTTGGGATATTCAAGCTAATAAAATTAGTTGAATTGGCTAAAATCAAAGTTGCTAAAGTAGGAACTGTTTCACTGGAAAAGTTCCCACAGAATTTGTCAATGGATTTTAGATCACTCTCTTTAACTGTAAATGTGAAATTGGCATCATGCCTTTAAATCTAAATTCATCTAGCAGCATTTGAATAGGTGATGCCTTCTTTTCAAGTCATCATTCAGCCAAATGCAGCTTGGGCTAAACAGAAAATAGGAAGTTGTTCTCTCAGTTAATATGACTACATTATTACATTCAAGATATTGCCTAAGAATTAGCCAGATTGAAACCCAATTTAGTATGTTGCTGAGAGTTACCATTGATTTTAAAGAGAATTTAGGGTAAACACGTCACAGATGATACCCAGCACTTCACACATTCAAAAGCCAGTTATGGAAGACAAAAAGAAAGATTGAAAATTTAAAATAACTTGATCATGGTATAAAGAAATATTATGCTATCATAATTATACACATTAAGATTATTTATTGGGTGATCATTTCATGGGTGATTGGTAAGTTAAGCATAGCAAGAATTGCATTATAACTTGAGAAAGCCAGATCATTCGGTCTTGGATCTGGATTCAACTTGAAATATTGCTGACTGGCATTTCATTTCTATTCATACCTTCTTTCTATTTTGTATTTGTTTGCTTTTTTAAATATAAAAGCATGATTTTTTTGTTCCAAATACTTCCAGCCTCTATCTTCATTGTGTCAACACAGTAACACTAACTCCCCAGCTAAATGCTACATTATGGCATAATATATATATATTTTTTTTTTAATAGCCAAGGGAAAGAAATATAAATTAAAAATGAGAATGCTGGCACACAAAAATGGATATAAACTAGTTCAGTATAGACTCGCATAGGTACGTGCTGGATTTTATATATATTCAACCCCAAAAATAGAAGAAAAAAAAAGCATCATCAAAGTAATACAGTTTTGAACAAGCTTTTGAAATGAACATTTGACTAAAATATCTCCACTACTTTTAACTTAGAGCTTGGTCCATTTATAAGGAGAGAGTGAGATTGCTTTCAATAACCAAGGAACTGGATTCAGTGATGAATAAACCCCCTTCTAGTCCTTAGGTTTGCTTCACTCATTGGAGTCTAGAGTCAGAAGACCTCTGCAGACTTTATAGTCAGAGGCATAAACTCTGCAGCAGTTTGGTTTTCTTAGGTAAAGGAAGCATAAGTCCTGTCGTGAAGCTAGAACAGTTTCAGTTCCATATC